GACAATTGCGCGAGCTCTTTACGCACCTACCAAATTGCGTTCGCTATCAAATGGAAAACAAAAAAAAAAAAATTTATTTCTCCACGCCATGCCAACGATTAACGCAAGACTACAGCACCGATCTACTCTCAATACGATCCGGTACCCCTTTCGACTTGGCTCCCACATCGTCTCGAGAATGGGGGGCTTGCGAGGCAACTCCCACGAGGAGCCAACTCCCTCGGGTCTACGAAACCATAGCGAGAGAACTCCCACGAGGAGACCACTCGCTCCGTCCTATAACCCATTGCGAGGCAACTCCCACGAGGAGCCAACTCCCTCGGGTCTACGAAACCACAGCGAGATAACTCCCACGAGGAGACAACTCGCTCGATACTACAACCCGCAGCGAGACAACTCCCACGAGGAGCCAACTCGCTCGACACTACAAATTCGTTGCAAGACAACTCTCACGTGCAACCACCTCGCTCGATAATATTACTCACCGCGAGACAACTCCCATGAGAAGACAACTCGCCCGAAATTCACTATATAATCGCAAGCTCAAGTTAGTACGATTACAACCCTATAAGCACTTAGAGATATTATGAGAATCTATATAGCCTGGCCAGCTTGATTACTCAAAATTATCTACTTGTTTTCGATGGGTCATTCATTAAAACGTGGCCACGGTCCAAACACACTTACGACCCACGAGGTCTAACAAGGGGCACGATCCCCATAAAAAACCTTGAGAGTCTGATCCCCTCTTCAAGTACATCACGCACAAGGCTATATGTAAACACATATAAGCAACGCGTCAAAACATCGACAATGTCGAAAAATAACAACTCCCACGAGGAGAATACTAGCTCCGTGCTACTACATTATCGTGAGACAACTTCCACGAGGACGTAACTCGATCAACTCGATTACCCCAGAGAAAACTCCCACGAGGAGATTACTTGATCCGTGCTACTACATAATCGCGAGACAACTCCCACGAGGAGATAACTCGATCAACACTATTACCCGCGACAAGACAACTCCCACGAGGAGATAATTCGCTACTACATCGTCGCGGGACAAAACCGACGACTCAATTAACTTACATCGCGACAACCTTGTCGCGCTATGCGCCAACGCGCATTCACGCCCCTCCGACACACGCTCCAACGCGTTTTCGCATACCCTTTGGCCATACGCCAACGATCGACTTCTACAATTTTTACTCTCGACACGATTTGAGACCCATCACAACATGGCCCCCACATCGACTCGAGAGTGGGGGGCTTAATGATATGCCTAATTGGGCCAACCCAATGGGCCTACAATTTCTTTACTTACTGGGCTACGAACCCAATATCGAAGACTAAAATCACCGAGGCCCAAACACCTTCAAGTAAGGCTTGGGCCCAACAAAGCAAACCCAACCCAATAAACGACATATAAATAGAGGTTTTACTCATTTTATTAAGGTACGTCCTATTAACTGAGCAATACTACAATACGTATTCTCTGGACTATTTCTATGATCAGCACGTCTGACTTGAGCGTAGAGGGGTTTCCGCCTGATCAACCCCCGGCGTAGTTCACGTGTGTTCATTTCGCAGGTACCTCAGGATCATCAAGTTGTCAAGCTATTGATCTGCTTTGCTCTCCCAGTTCATTTTCTACACTACCCTAGGTGAGCTATATTTTAGCATCATCAGTAATATTTATCAAACTTGTCGACCACCGGTATCCGTCTTGCCTTTTGAATTTTGTTATGGTAAAAGTTAAATATAATTCATTATATAATTTTATTATTCACTTTATATCACTTGTAGAAGTTTTTTAAAATATTGTATTTTAATTTTGAGATTTTTTTGCTAAGATATATAAGTAAAATATTATGAAATTTAATATATATATATATATATATATATATATATTACAAACCTATAAAGATGTAGTGCGATGATGAATAGTAAGTAACTTAATAAACATTTTGATTTTTTTTTCAAACAAAATCGCACGAAACGACGCCGTTTTAGGGGAAAATTTCCAGCGCAAAGCACAAATGCAATTTAATTTCGAATTATATTTAATGCTCTATTTATGGTCGGACCAAAAATGGTGGGCCCTTTTAATTTCCTATTCTCTTTCATACTCTCACCACTCGCACACTCACGCGCTACATACACGTCATTACCATTTCATTTAATTTTTCATTTTCTTTTACAAACTCCCACAAAACGGCATCATTTTGCCTAGAAAACTCATCCCTCCTCACTTTCGGCCGCTTTTCTATCGTCTGTCATCTCACTGTTGACGTTGTGCCAGAGGTAGGGTGTAGGACTGTTGA